CTTCCGCACAGCCGGTCTCTCTGCCTTCCTGCTGGCGCCCCGGGAAGCCCAGGCACGTCCACGCTGTCACCCTGTGGTCTGTCATGCCAAGCAACTGATTCAGGATTCCTCTAACTCTTCTTTCTTGAAATGAATTTACACCAAAGAACTAGTTCTGTTAAATTTTTAATCAAGTTTCCAGTCAAAATGACAGCCTTCTTTCAATGAAAAATTGAGAAGTACCTTCTTTGACAATATGACTTTCTTTTTAAATTTTTTATATATATTTTATTTAAAAAGCAAAGAAAAAGAGAGAGAAGGACAGAGAGTCCCATCCACTGGTTCGCTCCCCAAATACCCAAAACAGCTGGGGCTGGGGCTGGGCCAGGCCTAAGCTGGGAGCCAAGAACTCCATCTGGGTCGCCCACACTGGTGGCACGGACCCAAATACTTGAAACATCACCTGCTGCCTCCCGCGGTCTGCATCAGCAGGGGGCTGACATCAGGAGTCGTGCCAAGACTCAGACCCAGGCACTCCAACGCGGATGCCCAGCGCCCACCCCGCTGTGATCGTTCTTCCCAGAACACTTCTCTGAGAAGGGGACATATGAGCGAAAACCTGAAGCAAGGGAACAAATCACACGGAGACCTGGGAGAAGCACCTTCAACACAAAGCAGGCTCAGCCGGGAAACAGCAGGAAGGCCGTGGTGGTCACAGGGAGGAGGGGGAGGAGTAAATGGACACACGCTAATGGAGAGATGATGACCGAAAGGAAGCCAGTCTCCAAGGCTCTGGCTTTTACACTAAGTGCTGGTGCAGTCTGGGTACAGTAACGCACTCTGATGTTGGCCGAGCTGAGGCAGCCGCACCGAGCACCCGGCTCACAAAGCACGCAATGCCAGGAGCTCCTGCCCCCTGCTCCCCACAGCGCCTTCTGGGCCCCATACATGCAGCTCTGCAGCAACGATCACATTGTGTTCGAAGATAATGAAGAACTGGGGCTTGCAAACGACACATAAAGGAAATATTAAGCCCAATTTTTTTTTAATTTTTTTTTTATTATTTCTTATTTTTTGACAGGCAGAGTGGACAGTGAGAGAAAGAGACAGAGAGAAAGGTCTTCCTTTCACCCTCCAATGGCTACCGCGGCCAGTGCGCTGCGGCTGGCGCACCACGCTGATCCGATGGCAGGAGCCAGGTACTTATCCTGGTCTCCCATGCGGGTGCAGGGCCCAAGGACTTGGGCCATCCTCCACTGCATTCCCTGGCCATAGCAGAGAGCTGGCCTGGAAGAGGGGCAACCGGGACAGAATCCGGCGCCCCGACCGGGACTAGAACCTGGTGTGCCGGCGCCGCAAGGCGGAGGATTAGCCTAGTGAGCCGCGGCGCCGGCAAGCCCAATTCTTGTCCCTGACTCCACTATCACCAAAGCTTCAGGCCCTGACTCAATACTGATCAGCACATTTGAAATTTATCACGTACCCAGGTGGGAAGGCGGGGCAGGGGTGGGGGCATCTCCTCCTATAGGTGCCATGGGAACTAATACATGACAATCAATAAAGTTCCAAAATTCACGTGTCTCTCCCACATTCCAAGAACAACTTGCTCTCTAGAAGTTTCTCAGTGAATACAAAAGTGCATTTTTAAAAATTATGCCTTAAACTACTCTCACTGGCTCAGTCCTTTCACTGCGGAAACTTAATCTATGAAGAGAATCCTTCACAGGGAAGAATCTCAATCATAAAGATATATCTCCATGTATGCATGTATGTTTTCTGGCCAGACTATCATGCAGTCATCAACAATGTCACAAGAATGAGCCAATGCAGGTAATATAATGACTCCACCTTGTAAAAGGCACAGGCAAAACGACACCGGGCAAAACTGGCAGTGTGCACATCAAAACATTAACAGGATTACATCTGAGTGATGCAACTATATAAACTGATTTCAACTTGTATTTTCCAATTTGTACAAGTGACCATACATTTTATCTACAATTTAAAAAATTAAAGTAAATTAACCCTTGACTCCCCTCTGTTTATTTCCTACATGACCCTCATCTGACAGAACCTCTATGCGCACTACACCCATCCGGAACACACCAACAGCAAGTACTTGACACGATGGCGGGCGGCACGCTGAACACTGTTTATCTTCACAACCATCGCTGACACAGGCTCTACAGGCACCGAGGAAGTGGAGGTGAGCAAGTAACACTCGCATCCTACGGTGACATGGAGCCAGCGACCGTGGAGGCCTTGGGGCCAGTCCCGTCCTTGGCACTAAAATCCACACTCTCTGCTCCAATGCTCACGGCCTCCCTGCAGTGGAGTACCTGTATGTGATAAACCACCACGTCGGGGTGGCACCGAGGCACAGTGGGTGAAGCCGCTGTTCCCAGCGCTGCCGGCCCCCCGTGTCAGAGGGCCAGTTTGAGTCTTGGCTGCCCTGCTTCTGATCCAGCTCCCTGCTGATGTGCCTGGGAAAGTGGTGCAGACGGTCCAAGAGCTTGGGCCCCTCCACGATGCGGGAGACCTGGAGAGAGTTCCAGGGCTCCTGACTTCAGCCTGGCCCAGCCCTGGCAACCATTTGGGAAGTGAATCAGTGGATGACAGATCTGTCTCTTACTGTCGCTCTGCCTTTCAAACAAATAAATCTTTAAAAAACAACACCAAAAGGATGTAGTTGTTTCCGCAGCATCATGCGAAGCCACGGGGGAGCTGGCAGCACCGGGAAGGTCAGAATACTGACCCTGTCTTTAAAAAAAAAAAAAAACCTCAGTCGGAATTCCCAACGGACAAGCATGGCCGCGCTCCGCCAGCTCCTCGCCCCGTTTCTTCTGCTCATGCCCCAGTTGGCCTCTGCCTTCCTCACCCTGCTTTCTCAGGAACCTTCCACTTTCTCTCCCACACCTCTCCCTGCCTGTACAGCAAGCCTCCCAAAGGTGCCGCCCAGCACAAAGCAATCCATCACTCCCTCAGTCTTTCTTGTTTTTTGTTTAAGATTCGTTTGTTTGCAATCAGAGGGATAGAGAGACAGGGACGGATGGACACACACACACACAGAAAGAGAGAGAGTTTTCTTCCATCTGTTGGTCCACTCCCCAAAATATCTGCAACAACCAGGACTGGACTGGAAACACAGCAGCAGGGACTCCGGCCAGCGCTCCATGTGGGATGCTGGTGCTACAAGCAGTGGCTTGACCTGCTGCTCCACCACGCTGGTCCCTGCCTCTGTCCTACAAATCACAAGTTACACACTGGACGCCAAGAGCCACACCTGCCCAGCAGAGGGGTTCGCTTACAATCCCGCTGTCCCAAAACACTAGAATTAGTCATTAACACTTAAACATGAGTACATATTCACATAAGAACCCAAGTGTTCAGCTTGTCTTGAAAACAAAACGATCTAACAGTGGCCCACGGTGGCAGCAGCTCAACTCCAGCTCTCCAGAACCCATCAGCCGTTCTCTTCAACTCCCTCCACTCCGTCTGGGCACACTTCAAAGCCTGGTCCCACAAGCAATGGGTCTGTAACCTCCTCCCAATACTAGAAGCAGTGGCACCAAAGTCACTTGTACCAATGTTACATTCTGCTACATTCTGTAAGCATGTGAGACGCTAGCGAGGAGGCTGAACCACAAGGAAGGACCCACAGTAACCCCAGCACAGCCCAAAGCTTGTCCCTGGGTCAGCTCTGCCTGGACTCCGCCACATCCCTTTGGGTAGGCAGGATGGAGTCTCAAAAAGGCCTTCATCCTCAAATCAGAAAGCGCTCTGATGAGACTAGTGAGTCTAGCAGTAGCTGCAAACTAATCAGAAAACACGAAGCGAAACAGCAGGAAGTGCCTGCCTCGTTGGGCCCCTCAAAGTATGAATTTTACATGCTAATTGCAGAACTGATCAGCAGCCATTCAAAATCGCCGTCTGCACGGTAATGTGAACCCATTAGGGCGAGAGCTAAAGAGCGCTGGGGAATCCATCGCTCACCCTGGAAGAAGCGGCGAGGCTGCAGGCCCATGCTGTCTGATTTCTCGGGTGCACCGGCGGCTGAGCCATTCCACAACAGCCAGCACAGGTGCTGGAGGGCTCACGGTCCCACTGGGACCAGCTCGGTGATTCACACACGAAGACGCCCACGTCACGGCTCTGGGAGGACTGAGAAATGTGGCAGTGCCACGGGCTGGCGGGACGAGGGGCTGGGTACCTGCCCTCAGCCACTCGCGGCTCCCAGTAACTTTTCGATGGCAGCGTTTCTTCTCAATTTCAAACAATGCAAAAGAACTGGCTTCTGAATAAAGACGATGGATACTCACAACGTGGTTAATAACCCACGAGGTAAATAATTCATAGCTTTCAAAGAGTCAGTGGTAACTGGAACTGCAGCCATCATGCTGGCCGCCTTGTCCTCTGCAGAGAGCCCACCACAGGGGTGTCCCGTGCTACTTGGAACTTAGGAAGGGAGGAGCACCAGGTTTTGCATCCCAGGGACACTCAAGTGCAGGTGGTAACTATGGTAGCAGCAGGCAAGTGTTCTCTATCGCCCAATAATTACTCTCTCAAAAGCCTGCTGAGTAACAGAAGTTCAAAAAGGAACTTCCATCTAACCCCTCTGTGAAAGAAATACAGAACCATATTTCATAACAAATGCAATGCAGCGCATTCCAAAATCTCGCCTATCTTCCTATATTCACAGTATCAAACGCCTCCAAACACTATGCAGCGTTTACCTTATTCGACAACATATTTCACTTTGGCCAGTTTGTTTTCAGCAGTTCTTAATAATTCCCCTCCCCCTCGTGACTCAATGCTCTATCGGAGTTAACACAATTCTTGGAGCAATCCCAGTCCTTCGACTGGAGGAATGCCGTGTTAGACAAATGTTCCAATGGAGGGTAATACCCTCCCTCTAAAGGATGATTTCTTCTCACTGTCACAAGAAGACAGAATATTCATATCCGACCTCTTTGGGTTTTTTGGTTCTGAATTAAAAGGAAGTAGACAGGTAGGAAACTCACCTGGCCACTCCAGGCACAGTACAGATTGCACAGGAAACTCCAGTTGTGGTTCATCACGCAGTCTAAAACCCTGAGCTGAGCCATGGCTGCCCAGCGCGGCGTGCGCCTCCCTGACTCAGCGGCTGTCAGCAGGGCAGCTCCCTCCCCAGCTCTGCAGTGCTGGCAGCCGCCAGCGCCTGCCTGCCCTGCCTTTCCCGGCTCAGCAGCCAGGGCTCCGCGGCAGGGCGACCTCCTCTTCCCACACGCCCACACGCTGACGTCACTCCGTCAGGAAGGAAAGGTTTTTCATAAGTCTCAGGGTTTGAGATCATCTCTTTTTAAAAAGATGATTCCTTTTTCCTCCTTTCTAGGCACTGTCAGCTAGTATGTATTCCTTCAGTGACAGCACGGCTCGGGAGTAACCGTGCTGGCTGCAAACCACAGCAAACCATTCCACACCGGGCTGCACGTCTCAGAGCCCTCGCCAGCTCCTTCTCTGATTTCGTTACAAGAGGCAGGAGGGCCAAGTGTGAAAGCCTGGACCCTAGAAGACAGAACCCCTCCTCCACTGCTACCAACTAGAGGTCAGACCTGCAGCTAAGGGCTTTGGGCTGCCATCACTCCTCTGTAGAAGAGGGATAGGAACACCCACCCTCAGCAAGCCAGATTAAATGAAACTGTATTTATGAAATGCCTAATGCAGTACCCGAGAGAGACCTAATAAATGACCATCAGCACTCTCGAGCCTGGCTCCCCTTGCTGTCTGAATCAGAAGGTAAGACACTTCCCCTTTCTTACGCTGTCCTTAGATATCGTTATCTTTCTAACCTCCGATGATGTCACCCTGCAGGCCACAACTGTAACTGTGAATCACTTCCAAGCCTCTCTTAGAGGCCACTCTCTCCCAAGCCCCAAATCTGCATGCCTGAACCCTTGCTCAGCACTGACACCCAGGTCCCTGCCCGCACCAGCACCCACATCCCCTGATCTGCTTGGTGGCACAACTCATCACCTTGGCCGGCAAACAGAAACCAGAGTCATCCTAGAAACCCCCGCCTCCCACTTCTCACATGGCGCTACCAACTCCTGTCACTTCTACGGCACAGTTGAACTGCGCCCCTATCGACTGCACCACCCCTGCCTACACTCAGAGCCCATCAGCTTTCTCCCAGACAGCCCCATCGGCCTTGAGACGGTCTGGCCGGCACCCCGTCTCACAGGCTCCTCTCTGGAATCCCGCCTCGGCAGGATGAACACAACACTTCTTACACCAGAAGATGGCCCTTTGATCACTCTGCCTGGGAGCCTCCTGCTGCCTCCCGACCCCGCCCCATCTGCCTGTCCAAAGGAGTACTTTCCAAAGTCTGACTCTGTCCCTCCTGGTACTACAGGATGCGGAACATGAAGCAGAGCTAGGTGGAGACGTCTTTAGCCGCAAGGTGAGTTTGAGAAAAGCTGGGTTTCACAAATAACGACACTGCAAGGCTTCTCGGAGCCCAAATGCAAAAATCCGAAGTCCCCCAAATCTGAAAACTGAGGTCCCTAAAAAGCTGGTTTCTAACTTGCCCTTTCTGCAACCTTGAGCAAGTTTGTCTCTCTGGGCATCCCTTCAAGGGTGGTGTTCCTTGAGGTTCTGACCTTGGCTCTCTTCTCTCAGGTTCTGACCTTGGCTCTCTTCTCTCGGCATCTCTCCCTGTGAGCCAAAACTATCATTACGGTAGATGCTGGCTGATTTGAGACCTGCCTAACTGTCTGGTCACAGACAAACCAAACTTCACTTGTCACCCTGTGAATGCCCGCTGACTCCCCAGCAAGCTCAGCTCGCGAACCTGGGAGGACACCACTCCCACCTGGTGACGCCCACTTCACACAAGCCAGCGGTGTGTCTGCACAGCCTCTTGGTGTCAGTCTTATCGGAGTTACTCTAATTATGTAACATCGATGATGTGAGAAGAATCAGTAAAGTCTGCGGCGCAGGGCCACATCTCCCCCTTCCTTGGCCAGGCACCCGGCTCCTCCAGGGAGACCTTAGAAAGCCTCCCAGCTGTAGCTCTTTCAGCTGCAGCTGGACCCCTCTGGCCAGAACCTTCCTCTCCCTCCCGACCTCCTTCCTGGCTCGGCTGCACACGGCTTCTGGGGAGAACTTCCCCTGCTCCGACGCGAGGTGAGGGCTCCCGCCCCTTGCGCTGCCCTTCCCGCCAGCCACGCGGCCTGAGCCTGGCACTCGCACAGTGCTCAGCAAACGCGCCCTGAACAAGTTCATACACACGGAAGCACAAGTCTAAACATAACAGGCATCTTTGATGCTTTGATATTTGCACCAAATTTCAATCGTTTTAGGACAGAATAACTTTTAGCTTGGAAACAAAGGGATCATTATCACAAGTTTAAGGCAAAACAAAAAGTCGCTTCCTTCCTCATATAATCCCTCTAAGAAAGCAGTTGGGGCAGATGGGTTTCTAGCAAAATCCCTAAATACCTACACTGAAACTATTCCATCTCACCCAAAATTCTGGGAGAGGGCTGAAGGGGTTTCAGGCCGCTGATAATTTAGAACCACTGAACAAAGTCCACACTGAGAAAACGAACGACGAAACCCATTAGAGAGACGGAATGCCCGACTGCAAGTGAGGTTTCAGAAATCTTTCCTAAACACGGTCTGTCTTCTACACCTTCACGGTCCCCACTGGAAGCACCCCCATCTGCAAAATCTTTCCAAAACTCAGTCAGGTTCACACAAAGGAAAACAGTCACATAACTGCCCATCTCTTCCTTACGCGAAGACCAATATAGAAATCGGCCTAAATTCCCTTCCTGCCCCACAGCTACGAGAGTGCAGTCAGAAATGAAGCTACAGCACACAGGGCAATATTTACAGGGAAGGGGGTGGCCCTGTGAGCCCCAGTGAACGTGACAGACAGCCACTGACGATGGCAAGTGGTACACAGCGTCACCAGCAAAGTGCAAAAGCGCAGTAGCAGGCATGGGACCAAACAGAACCCCAGGGAAACACCTCGTGTAGAGAACCTGGGAGCGATTCGGAAAAGGGCTCTCTGCAGATGTACTTATGATACAGACCTCAAGAGGCAACCGCCCTGAATGACCAAGGACACACACCTTGATGAGGGGTAGGCAGAGGGAACGCGGACCTGCAGTGGAGACGGCCAGCGGAAGACAGGGCACAGACGGCAGTAACGCTGCCGCAAACCAAGCGATTCGTGGAGCCACCAGAACGGGGAGAAAGTACACGTCTGCTGCTGCAAACCACCCCATGTGTGGCAATTTATCACAGAAGGTTCAAAGAGCCAAGAGTCACTTCCTGGGAAGTACAACGGCCAATGTGAGAAAAATAACTCAAACTGGAATACGGTTTCCCACTCAAAGAGGTGTGTGAAAGGGAATCTCTGGAAATGTCCAAAATAGATGCGAAGTTGGCTCTGAATTCACAGCACAACAAAACTGACCAGACAGCCTCCCTTCTGAGGAAAAGCTGTGAGCTGAAGAGACTGCTGGACACAAAACACAAGCTGAACAGAACAGACCGGCATTGTGGCACAGCTGGTTAAGCCACCACCTGAGACGCCAGCACTCCATATGAGCGCCGGTTTGAGTCCTGACTGCTCCACTTCGATCCAGCTCCCTGCTAATGCACCTGGGAAAGCAGTGGAAGATGCCCAAGTGCTTGGGCCCCTGCGACCCATGTAGGAGACAAGGATGGCGTTCCAGGCTCCTGGCTTTGGCCTGGCCCAGCTCCAGCCATTGAGACCGTTTGGGGAATAAACCAGTGGATGGAAGACTTCACTCCCTTTCTCTCTCTCCCCACTAACTGTGCCTTGCAAATAAATAGACATTTTTTAAAAATTGAGTAAAATGATGCCAGTAGAGACAAAGAGTAGGTCCAGATAAAAAGGAGAGCGTAACTGGGACAGAAGCAGAATATCATAAAAAGTAAGCAGTATACAACAGAAGAGAAACTTTTGCAAAAGTTAGAAAATCTATGCTAAACACATCTCTTTGTAAAAGTTCAGGAAAACTCAGTTAGAAATTACCAGCAGGAAAGGAGCAAACTAAACACCATACAGGATCACAACGTCTAAGGAAAAAGAATAAGAAGCAAAATAGCCCTACAAAGAATGCACACGTTAGGAAGATGTGCCCACAAAACACACACCAAGTATCATCTATTACTTCCCAAAAGTTAAAAGACATGAAAAACGCGAGCAGCCACGAAAGAAAAGTATAATTCAGAACTACACAAACTCAAAAATGACCTGATAGAAATCAAAAAAGCAGAATTAAATCAATTGAGAATCAAGGACTGTGCCAGAGGAAATACAAACACTGTAGACAGACAAGGGAGTTTCGGTGTAGGTAGAACACTGTCCCTTAGGAAGAAACTCAAGCAAGGAAATAGAACAAACATTGAAAACTGTAATTTAATTACACTTTCCTGAGCTAAAAATTAAAACTATATGGTGAAAGGGAACATCAAGGGTACCTGGGATTGGAGACCCACAATGACCAGCAATATTAAGATATATTCTTGTAAAATTGATGGACATGAAAGAAATCCTTTCACATCTGAATAGAAAAGGTTTAATTATTTATGATAGAAATAGGATTAAATGGCTGTCAGAGTTCTAAACAGCAAGGTTTATGTGCTACCCCTCCAAAAAACCACCTGGGACAATGTATTTAAGATATTCAAAGAAGGGCCAGTGCTGTGGCATAGCAGGTAAAGCTGCTGCCTGCAGTGCCAGCATCCCATATGGGCGCCAGTTCAAGTCCCAGCTGCTCCACTTCAGATCCAGCTCTCCACTATGGCCTGGGAAAGCACTGGAGGGTGGCCCAAGTCCTTGGGCCCCTGCACCCACTTGGAGACCCAGAAGAAGTTCCTGACTCCTGGCTTCATATTGGCCCAGTTCTGGCTATTGCAGCCATTCGGGGAGTGAACCAGTGGATGGAAGGATGGAAGACTTCTCTCTCTCTCTCTCTGCCGCCGCCTCTCTGTAACTCTGCCTTTCAAATAAATAAATAAATCTTAAAAAAAAAAAAAAATCCGTTCAAAGAAGGAAACATGAGTAAAAACCCAGCAACACTGATTTTCAATTACAGGCCACAGATAAACTCCTTCCTGGTAGAGAATGAGCTCTGGACAATCAAAATGACTAGAGAAACATTGACATGCGAATCGGGAGTCAGCATTAAACACACAGCTCTGTTAGCTAAAGGGGAGAAACCACACACGTAACACCTGCTCACATGGTTTGACAAAGCAGAATGAAGAAAGCATAGGTCCAAAAAAGTCTAACACCGCAGTAATCACGTCGATTGCTCACTACTGTATTGCTGGATGTTATCTGGGATAAAATTAAATGAGTGCTTTTGGGATATTCTAATGCTTCTTTGTGTCCTTAAGAACTAAAATTTGGGGGCCGGTGCTGTGACATAGTGGGTAAAGCCACCGCCTGCACTACCGGCATCCTATATGGTCACTGGTTTGAGTCCCGGCTGCTCCACTTGGGATCCAGCTCTCTGCTATGGCCTGGGAAAGCAGCAGAAGATGGCCCAGTGCCAGGGCCCTTGCTACTCCCATGGGAGGTTCAGATGGAGTTCCAGGGTCCTGACCCAGCCAAGGCCACTGTGACCATCTAGGGGGTGAACCAGCAGATGGAAGATCTCCCTGTGTGTCTCTCCTTCTCTCGCTGTAACTCTTTCAAATAAATAAATAAATAAATCTTTAAATGAAAAAAAAAAAAAAAGAGAACTAGGATTTTGAATGTAGAAGAAAAAAATCAGATGTAGTATAGGAAATTAAGTACAATCCTTTCTGAATTTGAAAGGAAAGTATCAGGATGACACATGAATTATCTTAAACTTTTAATATAGTGGATAAGGCCTACAGTTTGGTAATATTAATACAATACACAATTTTGGTTTTGATCATCTATACTACAGTTAGATAAGATGTTTACATCAGGGAAATATGGGTGATATATAGGAATTATATGCACTATTCTCCAACTTTTTAGTTAGTCTACAGTTATTTCAAAATAAAGAGTCAGATGTAAGCCATTTGGTACAGAGGTTAAGAGACTAGTTAGGACACCCACATCCCATATCAGGTTCCTTGGTTCAATTCCCAGTTATACTCCTAATTCTAATTTCCTGCTAATGTACACCATGGGAGACAGCAGGTCACAGCTCAAGTACCTGGGACCCTGCCACCCACATGGGAGTCTCAAATTGACTTCCTAGCTCCCAGCTTTGGCCTGGTCTTACCTGAACCAGCAGATGGGAGCTTGCTCTCGCTCTCTCCCTCTCCCCAATGCTCTCACTCTCTAACTGCCTTTCAAATAAAAAAAAATTTTTAAGTAAAAAAGAAAGTCAAAATGTGTTTGTGTCAGTGTGTATGTGTGTGTGTGCATGTGTGTGTGTGTGTAAAAAGGCCTACCAACAATTGCAACTCAGTAGCAATGAACGTATCTACCATCCAAGTGCCTTAAAATACCACTTCCACCAAAAGGAGGAAGAAAAACTGAAAGAATTGGCAAATTTCAGCTCTTAGGCAGGAAAAGTACAAAAAGATGGGTGACAAAGTCATACCAGGGGCCAGTGCTGTGGCGTAGTAGGCTAAGCCTACACCTGCAGCACCAGCATCCCATATGGGCAGCAGTTTGAGTCCCGGCTGCTCCACTTCCAATCCAGTTTTCTACTATGGCCTGGGAAAGCAGTGAAAGATGGCCTGAGTGCTTGGGCCCCTGCACCAACATGGGGGGCCCAGAAGAAGCTCCTGGCTCCTGGCTCCTGGCTTCTGGCCTCAGACAGGCTCAGCTTCGGCTGTTGCAGCCATTTGGGGAGTAAACCAGCAGACAGAAGACCTTTCTTTGTCTGTAACTCTACCTCTCAAAGAAATAAATAAAATCTTAAAAAAAAAAAAAAAAAAAAAAAA